AAAAACCTGCTAACTGTGACAAACTCCAAGCAGTGATTATGAAAGAATGTGTTGCCATCACTCAGGATTTGGCCCAGAAGTCGACTGACAGCATGCCCGGGCGACTGCAGAGGCCTTGAAAAAGAAGAGCCAGCAAATATTGACTCTTTGCATAAAGTTGATGTAATTATCAATAAAAGCCTGTGAAACTTATGAAGTGCTTGCAATTGTACTTGTTTACATCACAGAAACAACTGAGAAAAAAAAAAATCTAAAAACAATGAAGCAGCAAACTTTGAAAACCAGTAAGTGTGTCAACTTTTGGCCATGATTATAATATATGAGATTAAGGAAAAGAAAAACCACACACAATTGCTTCAAACCATCTCTACATATCTTACTTGTAAGTAAAACAAGAAAGCCAACATTAATAAAGTTGTTAAGTGGAAAAAAAACCCCAAAACATTTTCATTAATTTTTACGCAGTTGGTTTAAGCAGGTGTTAATTGTTAGAAATTTATGAAATGCATTTGGATAATGAGTTGCTGAAGAGAATAAAAGAGAAATGATTGAGAAATTAACATGGGCACAGTTGTGAAAGTATTAATTTGATTTCCATGGATGTGATGGCATGCGTTACTGAAATATACCGACAGGCATCAACTCACAAATGCCATGCAGATGATATGGATATGGAGTTCAAATTATAAATGCAGTTTATATTTGAAAAAAGTTCAAGCTGGATAGGCAAAGTAACGATTATGAATCCAGGCATTTCAAATGTATGACTGAAGGAGAAAGTAACACATGGCAGCAGAAAGAAGGTAAACTGATGCTCTAACTAAAGATATGTGTGATGTCAATGGCTGTTGACAATGGGGGAAAAAACAAAACAAATAAACAATAAGAGGAGGATGTTAGTTGGAGCAACATACACATAACCAATGAGCTCAGAGAAGGGTTGCTTGTAGAAGTCTTCATCCAACACCCTGGACAAATATCCACCCAAACGACAGAGCAGCAAGAAGGCAGGAGAAAAGAGAGAAAGCGGTAAAAGGGAGAAGAGGAATGGAAACACAAGCACTGCAAGTTACCATACAATAATATGCTTAGGGATATAATCAATCAGGTGTTTGATCAGTGTCAGAGGGATTTAAAGACTGTTTAAATTAAGTTTTACATGTTTAATGCCATGGTACCAGTCATGCACAACACACTTTTAGCTCTTCATACCTCTCTCACATTTTGAATACTTGACACATTTTTAACTAATTAGCCAAATAGTGGAATCTCTTAACCCAGTATGTTATAG